TCGTGCTGAAGGAGTCTCTCAGGAGACCAGGACCAGCTGCCACCCACATGCCCACCCCACCTAGCCTGAGGGTTCCCCAGGCCTACACATGGGGGGTTGTTAACACAGGTCTCCCCCACCCCTGCCCACGTTTAACATCATTCACCTTTCAGCTTGGCAAGGGAGAAAAGCTGGGGAGCAATTCTTACTGGTGTGCCCAGAGGATGGGAACTGAATCTGCTTCCCCAGGGCACCCCTGAAATGCAGAAACCCCCAGGAGTGGGGCACTGTCAGCACTGGGGCACAGGCTGTGCTTTATCCAGCCTACAGCATTTTCAGCAATACCTTCCTAAATCCCAGCTACTTATTTCTTTAACCTGTGAGGTGTTGCTGAGCACAGGAGGTGGCTGGAGGAGGCAGCCTGGCTCCTGCCATGGCACAGGGGGGCCACTGCTGACTGAAGCACCTCTGAGGAGACCTCCTGGGGCTGGTGCTGTGCCAGGGTCAGGTTTAGTTCTGTCTCTTTCCTGAACCCATCACCAGAAAAGGGGTGGATGAAAGAGCCACTCACTGCTCAGTAGACTGTTTAATTAATTCCACTGATCACAACAGATCTGAGATAGGATAACTCTGATTTCAGTGGGTCCTGGGAGCAGAGTGGCATAAGGATGCATCAGAGAAGCTGGATCACACCAGCAATTGTAATAAAATCTCCCCACATACAAACCTCTACAGAAAACACACCCACAGCCCACGGGCACTCCACAGGCACTCCCCACCAGCTCAGAACCCACATCTGTAGTATTTTGGCAAGCATGTTAATTTGGATGAAACCTTATGGTCTAACAGCAAACCATTTGAAACTCACTCCACGTGCAGCCGTGGTTGTGGAGCACAGAATCTGGTATGAACTAAATTCAGTGATATTAATGTATTGGTGGAATATATGGCCACAGGGGTTGGTAGGATCTTAGCTTGAGCTCAGGCAGTGTTGGGCTCTGGAAGTTCTCTCAGAAGCCTGAGATGTTTTAGAAGCTGTCTAGTCTTATCCTGGCAACTCCAGGTGGTTCTCCCACTGCCAGGGCTGGTATGTACCTTCAGCAACTAAATACCCCCTCGCTGCTGGGAAAGAGCTTCTTAGGTCAAAAGCATTCCACCAAATTCACCTTTCAGAAGTCAGACCCATGTGTGTTTTTCTCTGTAAGACTGAGCTCAGTCTTGCTACTGAACACCCTTCCTATGCCTACAGACCTGTACGACATGATCCATCACCTCTCCATCTCCCTCTGCAGAAGACCTGAGCACCACAAGCTTTAGTTTTGTAAGGAACTGAGGAATAACTGAATTATCCTGAAATATGAGCCAGTGGAACAAGGCATAATAGCCTAGTAAGAGTCTCAGCAATGCTGTGGGCTGAGGTAAGCACCTAGACCATCACTCCTATCATCCCTCCAGCTCCCCTGTGGCCAGCTGGGGAGGGAGGGAGAGGCAGGAGGTACTGAAAGGATGTGGATGGCTTGCATGGATCTCCTGCATGGGTAAGAATACCTGTAGATATCTGGAGGCTCCTCTTGGTCCCATTGTACATCCACCTGCAGTTCCCTCCAGAGCACCACTGTGGCAACATCCTCCTAATTTTCTCTTTAAAACTGCAGATCTTGCAGGTAAACAAGAAAGAGCAGGAGTCCTGGGTCCAGCTCTGGAGTCCTCAGCACAGCAGAGCCAGGGACCTGCTGGTGCAGGGCCAGAGGAGCCCCAGCAATGCCCCGAGGGGGGAACCCCTCTGCTGGGAGCCCAGCAGGAGAGAGTTGGGCTGGGGCAGCCACAGAGGAGAAGGCTCCAGCTGGGGAGACCCCCTGGGGGCTGCCAGGACTGCCAGGGGCCTGGCAGAAAGTTTGGGACAGACATTTGAGCAGTGTCTGTTGCTATGGGGCAAGGGGGGATGGTTTGAAACTGGAAGAGGGAGATTTAGACTGGAGAGAAGGAAGACACTGCTGACACTGGGGGTGGTGAGCCCCTGGCCCAGGTTGCCCAGGAAAGCTGTGGATGTTCCATCCCTGGAGATGTTCAAGGCCAGGCTGGATGGGGCTTGGAGCAACTGGTTCAGTAGGGTGGTCCCTGCCTATGGCAGAAGGGACCTGCCTGCTCTAACACCAGTCTCTGTTCCACCTTATGGCACCTTTGTAAAGACTTTCCCAAACCAAACCTCTGCACCAGAGGCTGCTTCTTCATTCAGCTGTCAGGAGGAGCCCCTTTGCCTGAGCACATCTGCCAGCCCCGAGAGACTGATCCCCACAGGAATGGAGTCACTGGCTCCGACTTCTTCCCAGAGCCCCAGTTCCACGTGCCAGTGACACTGGGGTGACATCAAGCCTCTAGTGCACTGCCTCATTTCTCATCTTCAAGGACTAGAATTATATTCTTGGTTACATTCAGTGCACCCAGATGATGCCCCATGACCAAGCCTACCAGCGTGGTAGAAGATGGGAGAATTTTCCAGACTTGCAGAGTGCAGATGAAATGATTTTCTCCAAAGTACATGCTTTGCTCATGTTCTAATTGACTGGGCTCTTCTTTATTCTGGTGGGGAAATGAAATAAAATCTAGTAGAAGACATCTGTAAGTCCTATTACAATGACACTGAGCAGGCTGCACCGTTTATGCAACTACTTCCTGGGAAGATCTTCTTTCCTGTGACAAAAATTGGCTTCTGTAGTATTTCTGGAACCTCAGAGGCTGAGGCAAATCACGATTTCTCATCTATGGGCATGCTGCTAATTTTTCTGCTATTTACTGACTGATAGGCATCATTACATTCAGATCACTAAAATCTGTGGGATTTGTTAGTTATGACTAGAATATATATAGAGAGAGCTGCAATAGAGAGTTAATATTTAATAAGAATTAAAAAAATGTTT